GATAATTACACGTGTAAACAGGAACCTACCTTTGCTAATGTACACTGTTTGGCAGATCTTTCCAGCGTAAGATATAAAACTAGTACATGAAATGAAATTAAAGAACTAATCAAGTCAAATTACCTGATCGTACCGTCATTACTGAATAATAAGTCCGCAAAATATGACATGGAATGATCGGTGTGAGACGAAGCTATTTTTAGGAGGACAGGGAACTGCACGCTGGAACGGAACTGAAATGAACAACCTCAATCAAGTTCAGTCTTCTTGACGCTATTAAACGTTTCACCCGAAATTTGAACAGGAAGTTGTTTTCTATTTTCTTTCTCATTCTTGCATGTATTCTGCAGTTCGCCCACTATTTTTTCGTAACTTTTAATTTTCTAGCTAACTGGAACTGTTAAGAACTACCAACCCCCCTCCCCCCTCCCCCTCTTTGAGTGAACTTTCATTCGGTCTGATTCACAATAATTTTCGAACGGTGACAAAGTGAAATTTGAAATGACATTTTATTTAGCATTTTTAAAAGCTCCTTCTTTTTTTCCCGATAGCCAGGAATGTTACGAACGTAAAGGCTCAAGTGGCGGTGTTTTTCACGACTCTGCTTGTAGACTGACCTCACCACCAGTACCACGGACATAAAATCTGATCGCAGAGGGTCATACAGTAACTGATGGGTCTCTGAAAAGCGAAATGCAGTCACTTTGGGGCGAGTAGGCTATATAGATGATGAACTCATTGTTTATAACCCCATAACCGTATCCCGAAAGTCGAGCCAGCCCGGGGCGAGCGAACACAATTTTGGGGCCACTGGCCACGCCCTTATGTTTAGCGGGAAATTGGTTGATTAGTCAAATCTCCTTAACTCCACGACCATGCACCTTTCCAAACATAGCCCTTCTAATCATCATATAGTTAGGGCCTCCCGTGCCGTAAGCATTTGCAACTATTTTGATTTGTAGAAGACTGTTTAACAGTTTTCATTACTTTAATGTCTCGTAAACAACACGAGGTACATGTTCTGATCTCTTCCCCCCACCCTTCCCCCATCCATAACAAAAAATTTTCAGACCAACACTGAATTGCATGAAGGTATGTACAAATATATGACCATCTCGAGGCAAGGTTCATCACTGTAACTTACCACATAAAAGCCTTTT